CCAAAAGCAAAGATGAGACAGCAAGGAGGGGAAGGGAAGCTAGATCAATGGAAACAGAAGAAACAGAATGGAAATAATGAGAATGCTAACTAACACACTGTAAAAATTGTAACCAATAGTATGAAATGATTTGTATAAACATTGTTAAAGGGAACCTAATTTGCTTTGTAAATTTTCACCTAAAACACAGTAAAATATTATATAAAAAGAGGGAGGGAATAACAATATTTGCAGATAAACAAAAACAGAGAATTCATCACCAAAAAAATTGCATTAAAAAAAATAAAAAGGAAGTTCTTCAGGATGAAGAGAAATGACACCAGGCAGAAATTCTAATCTACTGAAAAGAATGAAGATGAGCGATAACTATGTAGGTAAATATAAGTCTATATATTTTTTCTTCTCTTTCTTTAAATTTCATGGAACTGTTTAAATTAAAAAAAAAAATTGTCTTGTAGGTTTTATAACATGTATATGTAGTACATATGACAAGCATAGCATGAAGAGCTGGGGCCAGGAGGTAAACTGACCTATAATGTTGGAGAGTTTCTACATTTTAGATAAAGTGGGGTATAGTAATTCTACATATACTGTAAAAAGTATAAAATTTTTTAAAAATGTAATCTTTATAACAATCATAAAAACAATGCAAAGAGAGGTAGAGCTAAAAAGATAACACATAAATCAAAATATTAAATATTAAGTAAATACAGTAAGCACAATAAAAAAATATTAAAATAATCCAAAAGAGGGCAAGAAAGGAGTAACTAAGAAGCAAAAGAGAGGAAAGAAAAAACAAAACAGTAGACTGAATCCAACCATAAGTAATTACATTAAATGTTAATGAATTAAACAGTCCAATTAAAAAGTAGGGATTGTTAGATTAAATAAAAAAGTAAGACCCAACCATATGGTGTCTCTAAAAGACATAAATAGACTGGAAATAAAAGGGTGGAAAAAGATACCATGCAAACATTAAGCATAAGAAAGCTGGAGTGTCTATATTAATACCAAAGTAGAGTTCATGATAAACAGTATTACCAGAGATAAAGAACATTTCATAATGACAAAAGGGCCAGTTTGTTAGGAAAGTACATCAGAACCATATATACAACTAAACACAGAACTTCAAGATATAAAAATACAAACTGATAGAACTAAAGAGAAAAAATAAATCACAACTAGTAGAGTTTATCTCCTCTTGCAGTAATTGATATTTTTGATTGATACTAAATTGATACTAGACAAAAAATAAAAATCAGTAAGGATAAAGATCTGATGATATTATATACCATTTTACCTAATTGACATTTATGGAATATTTCACCCAATAAACATAGAAAACACATTTTTTTCAAGAGCACATGGAATGTTCACCAAGACAGGCCAACGTGCTGGGCTATAAAATAAGTCTCAATAAATTTCAAAAGACAGAAATTTACAGAGTATGTTGTCTTACTACATCACAATTAAATTATGCATGAATAACAATAAATATTTAATTATCTGAAAATGAAACAATACATTCTAAAGAGTCAATGGGTCAAAGAAAAAAATACAAGGGAAATTAGAAAATAATTCAAATGACTAATAATGAAAATACAAAATGTGAAATTCGTGGGACACAGCAAAAGTAGCGCTTAGAGCAAGGGTCAGCAAACTACAGCCTGTGGGCCAAATTCAGTCCACTGAGTTTTTGAAAATAGAATTTTCAAATTTGGAACACATACACACTCATTCGTTTACGTATTGTTTGCGGCTGCTTTCATGCTACAGCAACAAAGTTGAGTAACTGTAACAAAGACACAGGGCCCACAAAGCCTAAAATATTTATTACCTGCTGCTTTAGAGAAAGAAGCCCTAGTGGCCCTATGGCTGAGTGTTCAGCTGCTAACCAAAAGGTCAGCAGTTCAAACCCACCAGCTGCTCTATCGTTGAAAGATGTGGCAGTCTGCTTCCGTAAAGATCCCAACCTTGAAAACCCCATGGGGCAGTTTTACCTTGTCATACAGGGTCAGTATGAGTCAGAACTGACTCAACAGCAATGGATTTAGTTTAGTTTTCTTTTTGCTTTACAGAAAAAACTTGCCAACCCTAACTTGTTAGGTGCCATCAAATCAATTCTGACTCATAGCGACCCCATGGGGCAGAGTGAACTGCCTCATAGGGTTTTCTTGGCTGTAATCTTTACAGAAGCAGACTGCCAGGTCTTTCCACCGAGGGCAGCTGGGTGAGTTCGAACTGCCAACCTTTCCATTAGAAGTTGAGTGCTTAACCATTTTGTCACCAGAGCTCCTTGACCCTAGCTTAGAGAGAAATATATAGCATAGATGTTTCTATTAGAAAACAAGAAAAGTTTTAAGTCAACAATCTAAGTGTCCACCTTAAGAACTTAAAAAAAATGAGAAAATCAAACCCACAGTAGAAAGGAAGAAATAATGAAGAGCAGAAATCAATGAAATTGAAAACAGACAAACAGTAGAGAAAATTATCAAACTTTTAAAAAGTTTATTTTTTTAAAAGATCAAATAAATTGATAAACCTGTAGATATAATGATTGAGACAGAGAAGAAACAAAACACTAGATAGGAATAAATGACAGGATTCTACCACAGACTCTATAGAAATAAAAAATGCAATAATGGAACACTATTATGAACAACATTATACTAATATACAATTTAGGTAAAATAGATCATTTTCTTGAAAAACAGAACTCACTAAAACTGACACAAGATGAAACTGAAAATCTGAATATCTCTATAACTATTACAGAAAATGAATTAATCAAAAAACTTTCCACAAAGAAAACTCCAGGTCCAGACGGTTTCACCAATGAATTTTTTTTATTTTCTAAATTTTATTTTGTTGTTGTTATTGAGAATATACACAGCAAAACATACACCAATTCAACAGTTTCTACATGTAAAATTTAGTGACACTGATTACATTCTTCAAGTTGTGCAACCATTCTCATCCTCCTTTTCTGAGTTGTTTCCCTCATTAACATAAACTCACTGCCCTAAGGTTCCCATCTAATCTTTCAAATTGCTGTTGTCAATATGATCCCATATAGATAATTCTTAAAAGAGTATAATGCTCAAGGCAGACTTTTTTTTTAACTAGTTAAGTTAAACTGTTTGCTCGGTTTTAAGACTACTTCAGGGGATATTTTTGGTTTAAGGTTTAAAGATTACCTCAGGGCAATAGTTTCATCTGTGAATTTTATGACATATTTAAGAAAGAAGTAAAGGCAATCTTACATTAACTGATTAGAAAAACCCAATACATAATATTGACCAAAGATATATCTAAAACCTAAGGGTATAAGAAAGGTTGAATGTTAAAAGGTAGGGGGGAAAAACACACCAAGTACAAACCAAAGCAAACCCAGTGTATCCCCAACTGATGAGATAAAACAGACATAACTTGAAAAAACATTATCATAGGTAATGAGGGTCACCACATAATGATAAAAGGTTCAGATAAATACAAAATAAAATAGTTGTAAGCTTATCTGTATGCACCTAATAATATAGCCTCCAATAAGTGTAGGAAGAAACTGATAAATTTACTATCACGGTAGATTTTAACATACCTCTCAAAATTATTCATAGAGTAGACAATAAATTAGTAAAGGTAGAGAACTGCACAATGAATAAACTTGTCTACAGACCCTGATCATCAAAAATTAGAGAACATATATGGAACATTAATTAAAAACATGACCACATACTGAACCATACAGCATATCTCACAAAGAACAGAAGCTATGTTCTCTGACTACGAAGCAATTAAGTTGGTACCAAAACCCAACCCACTGCCGCTGATTCCAACTGATAGCAACTCTAAAGGACAGAATAGAACTGCCCCATAGGGTTTCCAAGGAGCAGCTGGTGGATTTGAGCTGGTTAGCAGCCGTAGCTCTCAACCATTTTGTCACCAGAGTTCGCTCTCTCTCTCTGTCTCTCTCTCTATATATACTGAAACGTATGGGGCATGTATATTTTAAAGGTAAGCAGATGAAGGTTATCTAGCTACTGATTTCAGATCTAAATGTTAGCATGTTGTCTTTCTTTCACACTCTAGCTCTCTTGCATTTTCTCTCCCTCTTACTCTGTCTCCTCTTGAACTTCTAAACTTCAATTACTGAGATTTAAGTTCATTTAGTCCTCAGTATAATGGCACGTTATCATTTATTCATAACCTTTTCGTTAGCAGCCGAATGCTTAACCACTGCGCCACTAGTTGGTAGTCAATAAAAAAAATATTTTTTTATGTTGTAAATTAAAAATCAGACTTCTAAATACCTTTAATCATAGAAGGACTCATAATGGAAATTGAAAAAATATCCACCACTGAACTACGATGGATCAACTGGTTTATTAGTTAATTAATTAGTTATGAACTACTGGTTGTGAGACTCTTTGTTCCACACATTTTGGGTTAAATAGAATGGCCTTTTTTCTCAGAATCCATAAGTCATCCTCCTCTTCACCACAGCCTGTCTGAAATGTTTTATTTAAGGACCTAATCACAATAATTAGAATTTCTGTAAGAAACGACCTGTGAGGTCATAGGGATGCAAGAAAAATATGGTAATCAAGGGTGTTTCTTGGTTCTTGAAGACCCTTCCTTGATGGGGAACAACTGTTTTAAGAGATGAGCCTTAGAAAAACTGCTCAGCTGCTGTAGGTAGACACATAAACTAATTTTAGGGGAGGGGCATAGGGACAGAGAGTGAGAACCCTATCAGAGCGGAGAGGACTCAAGGAGCGTGCATGCAAGATAGGCTGCACTGTATGATGAAATGACATGGGCTTTATGCATTCAGTGACCATACCTCCCAGTTTGCTCCGGTCAGTTCTGGTTTAGTCTTGTTATTCTGGCACTAATAGTGCCCCTTTCTCTCTCAAAAATGTTTGGAAAAAAATTATATGGTCACCTTATTGACAGTCCAACACTATTTTCCAGGTGTGAATCCTGGCTCTGTCACTTACTAGCTGTGTTGCTTTGAGAAAGTTACTGATTCTCTCTGAGCCTCAGTTTCTTCCCCTATAAAATGAAGAAAATATATAACTCACAAAATAGTTATGAAAGTAAAAGAAATAATACATCAAAGTACCTAACACATGCTAGGTGCTTCATAAAAGGGACTTATCAACTCAATGGGCAAATAACACAGAAGGATATGTTCATTTTTCCTCAAATCAAAAAATGCAACACAGTTAGGTCTTTAGAGATCATATCCTAGAATGTACATAATGGTAAAAAGACACTTGTGGGAAGTTTGTCTCTGTTTTTCTTTTCTATAGGTAGGTCTGTTTCTCTTATTCTTTTCTCTCTGCCTTTATTTTATTCTCTTTAGAGAGGTAATTATGGCAGAATAAGAAACAACTCAGTAATGGGAGTTAAAAGACCTATATACAAATCATGCCCCAATCACTTTGAAGCTGTGAATCGGAGGCCAAATTACTTAATGTTTCAAAGCCTTGGTTTTTATGTAAAACAAAGAGAATATTCCCACTCTCACAAGTTGAGAGTAGTTTTGAAAGTATTAGTAAACTGCTTATAAACATTAACTGTATTAGTAAACTGCTTATAAACATTAACTGAATTAAAAAGTCAACACACTGGTCTGTCTTATCCTCTGTTCTTTAAACTGGCCATAATATAGTTTTACTATTTATAGTATAACATTAATGATATGATAGAGAGGACTGCTATTAACTGAATGAACTCTAGGAGTAACACAAATTATTGCATCTCACTATTTACTGACATTTACAGAAAGATAGTTTTATATGGGTAACTATCCACATATAATGCTTTCCTCTGCCTCTTCTATTCCAATAATCTGAGTCAGAATAACTCTGTTAAGCAAGCATGACTCCAGTGCAGACCTCAGATCCAGGTAAAGGTAATGATAATACTGATAATCATAACTACTAGAACAGAAGCAGATACTAATACATATACTGCTTACTATATGCCAGATTATTCTAGTAAGAGAGGTATTTTTATTATCCCTATTTTTAAAATGAAAAAACCAAAGTACAGTGAAGTTAAATGACTTGGCCAATATTACACAGCTTGTAAGTGGTAGAACTGAGTTTAAACCCAGGCAATGTGGCTCCAAAGTCTGCACTCTTCACCATCACACTGTGTGGCCTCTATTTCCCCTATCTGGTATATAATTGACTATACAGGGTATTTATGATTGGCCTGGGTAGTCAGAGTCTGGTACTGATCATAGAGAATAACAAAGAGCAAGACAAGTCACTGAGGGAAAAAAAATCAACCCTCTCCCAAGGCAAAAAGCCACAGGCAAATTTATCCTGCCTTTTGCCATCGTTTTTCAGGCATTTACAGTGTTCTGTTGGGAAGGAAGGAATGAAGAAAACTTCTTGAGTGGTTATTTAAACTTTTTTGAATGTCTCTATCAGGTCTGAACTGGAACATTACCTTGCTTCCTTAGTGCAGGGTGAACAAAATCACCCAATATTCTCCCAGCGAAAACAGCCTCTATCTTAACGTCCCTCGCTTGGCTATAGAGAGATGAGTCCCAGTTGCTCTAACATAAGTTTATTTGTTCAACAAACAACCATTTAATGCCGAGCATTGTACTAGGTGCCACTGAAATAAAGATAAATAAGATATGATCCTACCCCTCAAGGAGCTCATAGCCCAGTGGGGATGAAAAATATAGACAAAAATATTGTAAATCAACGTGGTATGGTACAGTGGGGAGCCTAGAGGAGGCAATGGCTAGCTATGTCTAAAGAAGGAAAATCTAGGAAGAGCACCAACCTTACAAAATTGCCTACAAAATGACAATTCCATATGGTACAACCTAAGAGAGAATATTTGAGCAAGTTCTTCTTGGGTGAAGAAGAAGGCAAAAGGAAGGATTTCAGAGGAAAGTCAAAGGAGTCCATTTGTCTTTACTTTACATAGAGCACTGTGAGCTTCTCATGCTTATTTTTTCAGTGTGAATTAGGAAACAAGAAAACACACACACAAGCGTGCACATGAACATGCTCCCTTTTGATTTTTCTTGAAAATTGTAAGTAGTGTCCCCACCTCACAAGACAACTAAAGTTAAAAGTATCTTTTCTTGACTCCTCTATCAGTAATTCTTTTTCCAAACCAAAGAATCACAAAAAATGTAAAAATTCCTTCAAATCTCCAAATCATAAAACATAATTACATAGATAACAACATGCTAGAAATTCTGGTACATAATCAGTTATACACATCTCATATTTCCTAGGTTAGCTAGGAGACCCAAAACTGTGAAGGCTCCAAAAGTGTGGTTATTTAAAAGTTATAATTTTGCCTGGCATTTTCCCTGGGATTAGTCATGGAGTGGCAGTTTGAACTACTTAGCTTTTAAATAGTGTTTATCTCTTAGTGGTCGTGATAAACAACTTAGCTGGCAGTTTTTGTTTAAAACTCCCAACAGTTTTCTCATTTGTTTAACTCATCATTATGTGGCTGCTAAGCATTGAGCTGGACCTTGAAAGACCACGTTGGGAAAACAAGTTGGTCAAAAAGCTTGCTTCCAGTTAGGCTGCAGATTTACTGCCAAATTTGTTAACCTATGAATTTTGGCTACAATAAAGAAAGATTAGAGTTTTCCACTTCATCAAATACAATGCCAGTGCCAGACTCAAATTCTCAAGCTCGTAAATAGCACAAAGCCCTAGTATGCTCTTAGTCAAACTAATTGCACTGTATGAGAGAACAAGCAAATGCACAGAAAACCAATCAACTGGGCCATTATTTGTGTGTGTTTAGCCCACATTTGATTCTCTGCTTCCTAGCCTTACATTCCCACCCTCAACTCGCTAACAACAAATGCTATACTGGAATGTACGTTAAGACTACTACTACAATTCTTGTCCTTTAATGTCAAAATATGCTAATAAAATAGTTTCAACTTCTTCAGCGAAGCTCAAAAGTATTTTTGAAAATCCATTATATCATTTCCCCCCATAATTATTAAAAAGCATAGCCTGTTATAGAAAGACCAAAGTAAAGAATGGTTATATAACACAAATAAATAGTGATACAGCTAGTAAATGATTTGATGCCAAGTGACACAAAAAGTTCTCTTTAACCTAAGGAAGGAAATAGCTTTTCCTTTAAGAAAGGGGAAAAAGAATTTTGATTTACAGAAATACTCCATAAATACTTAGGTATACATGCTTGTTTTCCTAGTTCCACTGCACATCTTTTACTGCTCTTAATAATTCTTTACTCCATATATCAAAATATGTAAAAATGAGAAAACCCAAATTTCCTCCTAGCCCAATGGTCAACAAATTTTTTTTTCTGTAAAAGATCAGAAAGTAGTTATTTTAGACTTTGAGGGGGCCTATGGTCTGTGTCACAACTACTCACCTGCTGCTCTAGTGCAAAAGTAACCATATAGTTAATACTGAAACAAAAGAGTGCGGTTATGTCCAATAAAAACTTTCTTCACATATCCGGAGAGTAGGCTGAATTTGATCCAAGGGCCATAACTGGCTGATCCCTGTTCTAGCCTCCAAACTAGCAGTGTCCCTGAATGACTTAAAGAGGAAATGTAAACTACCCTTTAAATTGAGAAAAAAGATACTTTTGTAGGGGTAGGAGGAAATAGGGTGGATGAAGGGGTGGGATAAGGAGAAGCAAAAAAACACACACAGATAACAAAGAAATAAAGGATTGATTCCATTAGGTTACCTTCTGTGGATCTGAATTCTTCTCCTATTGAGGTACTTTTTATACCCAGGTTATCATCACTGTCAGATTCTGTAAGGCAGAATCAGTAAATGCAAATAAATTTCTGAAAAAGTACTATAATTTATGTATTCTCAAGCTATTATTTTCAGTGTCTTCTCCCATATCCAAACTTACTAGTCACAATTAATCAGTATTACACCACTTTCCAAATAGGTTTTTTTTTAAAAAAATGCTTACCAGATAAACCCAAACCAAATCGAATGCTGCTGAGTCGATTCCTACTCATAGCAGCCTATAGGACAGAGTAGAACTGCCCCATAGGGTTTCCAACTGTAATCTTTATGGAAATAGATTGCCACATCTCTCTCCCTCGGAGAGGCTGGTGGGTTCAAACCACCGACCTTCTGGTTAGCAGCCAAGAACTTAACCACTGCACTCCCCACGCTCCTTTTACATATCATAGGTATGTTATCACACAGATTTTAGGACGGTGCCAAAAAAAAAAAACACCTACAGCCTTATTAACAAGCTGAGGAAACAACAGGCAGCTAGGCTTTTAGAATTAAGTTCAACAATTATTTTATATAATGCCTATTTGATAGGGTGTAATGCTGGTTCAATCAGCTATACTTTCACAGCGAGGGTGAACTACTATTATGTTCAGTTTTTCAGATGGCTTTAAAAATCTGAGTAATTACTATGATTTTATAGATTCCAACCATACTTAATGCCTGCACTCCATTCCAAAGTGAAGCCATAATCAAATGGATACAATGAAGTCCTAGGCCCATAAAACACATAGCCTATTAAGTGTTCCATTTCAAGAAAAAGATCTTGTAGTAAAATCTTCTCAATTTGAATTCATCATCCTCAAGTTTACTCTTTCATTATTTAAGAAGAAATAGTCTAGGTAAATTAATACTTTACATAAAACTGCAAGGAAGATGTTTAATTTACTTAAGAACTATAAATAATTGAATATATAAAACTATATTTTTAAAAGGGAAAAAAAACAAAAACCAGTTGCTGTCAAGTCAATTCCAACTCATGGCAAACCCATGTGCTTTAGAGTATAACTGCGTTCCATAGGGTTTTCAATGGCTGTGACCTTTTGGAAGTAAACTGCCAGGCCTTTCTTCCAAGGCATCTCTGGGTGAGTTAAAACTGCCAAACTTTTGGTTAGGAGCTCATCACTTAATCATTTGCACCACCTAGGGACTCCTTTTTAAAAGAAAACCCTATATAAATCAAATCAAATATGTCTTGTTCTTCAACTAATTAGATACGGTCAAGTTCTCTTACATAAACAAATTTCTAAGAGCCCAGAAAATTTTTTATATAAGCAACAAAAGTCACTAATGAAACACTGGAAAATAGTAATTCAGAAATTCAGAAATCAAGTATAGTTGAGGTAGGTAGAGTAATCTAACACTTGGCAAAGTTTAAAAAAAAAAAAAACAACTTAAAATGCACTGCCAATATGGTAAAAACAAGAAGCATAGTCATTTTATCATATGGAGAGTGACTACAATGAGCCAGGAAGCGATGTCATACAGGGCAAATAAACAATGGTGATGGCATGCTCCCTTTAACTCAACATATATCACACTAAAGTGGGCTTCTACAGCCTCAAGAAAAGAAGAAATCATTTCTCATTCTAAAGGTAGTAGATACTGGTTCAAACAAAAACACTGAAGATAGTAACTTTATGCACTCTGAAACATTTACACTAAGGGGGAGGAAGCAGCAGAAGGAAGGGGATTTCTAGCGAATTTCTTAGAAAATGCATGTTGCTATACCAAAATAGCTCACTACTGTGCTTATAATTCTTGAGCCAACATTTTGAGGAGCTTCTCAATATAAGGCTTATGTGTTTAATTATGAGACTAAAGATCCTATGGAAATTACAGTGTTAATCATTTTCCTTGGCTATGTTCAATACCAGATTAGTTTGCTTTTTAAGTACCAGAACCCACAACCAAGTCATTTTATGTTCTGACTTAAAAAAAAAAAAAAAAAAAAGAAGCATCTTTCTGAATGGTATTTTAAAAAACCCCAAACTGCTCATATTTGATATCCTTACATAAACTCTGCATTGTTAGGCTGCAGCAGAACATCTCTTACTACCTTCACTCCTTAAGGGTATGGTTAGGGCCAGTAACTCACAACTGATGGATATCTCTGAGTCATGAGATCAGGTATTTGTGTCAGTAAGAACTTCAGCCTTAGCAGGCAATACTGATGAGGAGAAAAGCACTTACTGTGTGGTCATAGGCAGGTTATTTAACCTTTCTGGATCTACGCTTCCACGTCTATAAAATGGGGTAATATAAAACATCCTACCTCATAGTGTTGCCAAGAGGATTAAATAACATGTGGAAGAAGTTCTTTAAACATGTTTAAACGTCACAAATATAAAAAACAGCCAGCACGGTGGCTAGTACATATTGAGTGGCAGGTCCTCAATAAAGATTAGTTCTCCTTTCTCTTCTTTAAAACTGAACATTTAAGTGATATGTTCTATCTGCATCTCTGAATCATGAGGCTTGAGTTGGAATGAAGATACATTTATGAGAAAAATGTTTAATAGGCCTAAAAGAAGAGAAAGTCTATCTAGCTCTTCTGATTAGGACTACCAGAAAGGATCCATGTATCTTGTCAAGTTTTAAAACAGTGAGAATGAGTGCAGTATAAAATAGAATTGATGAATAATAATAATGGGGCTAAAGATGTCACTTAAGGACAGGTTAATAGACACTTACATGAAATGTCTCTACCGAAATTTATTATATACCGAAATCAAAATGTTGGTGCTGGCACCCTCATGCTTAGAAGGAAAGAGAATTTATAGGGCAGCAACCATGACACAATGAAACCTCAAACTTAGTCTAGCTACAACGAATAACTGATTTACCCTAACCAAGTCACAGACCTAAAAATGTATCAGTAGTAAAGCTACTTACCCGTCCCCTCACCATCAGGAAAAAAGCAATATCCTATGGCCAAATGAGTGGACATCCATATACAGAACCAGCAACTTTGAATATCTCTACTTTCATACTGAGATAAGTATCTCCTGAACAAACTTTCAATTAACTCTGAAAAATCAGCAAAGACTAAGTTCTCAAAGTATAGGATACCATATGATCATTGATGTTCATGACAGTATTTAAGAGATTCTTCCTGCTTATACAGAAGCTCCAGTCTGATAACTACTCTCTGGCCCTAGAAAGGCAGTCCCCGGGTTACAAACATCTTACGGACAACTCGTATTTGCCCTTTAATATTATGTAAACTTGCCCTCACTTTGAAACAACTGAACTAACCCCTACTCACAACAAATTCTTCATCACAATCACCTTCACTTGCTGTACCTGCAGCTTTTACAATATTGAAAAGGCTTCCAGCCTTTTTTTGCACTAAAGTAAGGCTAAATAAGAACTGTATGCACCTGTTCCAACTCACCTACAAATTGTTAAAGAGATTCAGGAACAGATCTCGTTCATAACCCAGGGACTGCTTGTAACAGCAAATCTCTGAAAAGTTAGAAAGAGGCTCAAACTCACATCGTTTGTCTATGCTAGGGTGATTTTAAAAACCTGAAAATCACAAGACTGCCTATAAACTGATGATAGATATAAGAGGTAATTCTCACTATATGTTACTTACAGTATTGTTGTGTGCTGTGGGGTCAATTCTGACAAATAGTGACCCTATATGACAGAACAGAACAGCCCCATAGGGTTTCCTAGGCTATAATTTTTATAGAGGCAGATTGCCAGGTCTTTTTCCCCACAGAACAGCTGGTGAGTTCGCCAACATTTTGGTTAGTAGCAGAGCGCTTAGCCACTGCACCACCAGGGCTCATTACTTACAGTATCCATGTCCATTATATCCTAAAGATAAGAGGGCTTTGTCTGTCTGTAACTAGGAGGCTTGAGACCACAAATCCCCTGAAACTGTATATAAAATTGTATATACATGTTTATTTTGGGGGAAAGAAGGTACAGAAAGCTTTCATTAGATTCTCAAAGAGGTGCGTTAACTAACCTCCCTACCTCACGCCTCCCCTCCACACACGCACAAAAAAGGTCTCAAACCACACTGCCTTAAGAGACTGTCTGGTTGTCAGATCTGAAGATAGCAACACCATGCTCAACTAGATGAACAGAGTTATCCTGGCATTGTTGTAACCAAAATTATCCAGAGGCTCAACAATGAATTAGTCCTCAGGGACAATGAGAGATTTTCTCAACTACAATAAATATTAATACTATGCCTTAACACAAAGTATTACTCAACTATTCAAAAAGCCATTTGTTAGGAAAAGTGATGAAATAGTTTATCCAAGAAAGTGATTGTTCTTTGATTTTCTTCTTATAAAGTTCATCATCAGGCAGTTTGACAGTTTTCAGTCTTCCATGAAGAAAAGATTTTGTCTTAGTAACTGAATCTGAATATACTGTGCTTCAGTATAACTTATTTTTTGAATTTTAGAGTTACAAAAAAGCATTATATACTTCATTAGATCCTTAAATCAAGATTAAAGATAAAATACCTGGATTTAAAGTCTCTGTACTTCCTTGGCCACTTTAATTATTTTCATTACTTTTTAAATGCAGTGACTGAGAAACAGATTTTCTTTTTATGGCAGTAGTAATAAGGATAGCTACTATTTACTGAGTATCTACAGTACTTTATATAGTGTGCCGGACACATTATCTACATTACCAATTCTTATAATCTTATAGACACAGAAAGTGAGGCTCAGAAAATTTAAGTAACTTGCCTGAAATCACACGGTTAATAAGCAGCAAGTTAGTATTCGAACCAAAGCCCACACTCTTCTTTATGCACTGCAACATCTCTGCGTTTCACAAAAATTCAGGAAAAATATGCATGTGCTCCAAAGACCAAAAAGTTCAAAAGAGCACTGAACATGAATGAATGATAATAATTAAAAAAAAAAAGGAAATCTAGAGCTAAGAGGCACTCAGAAGGGCATAACCAGCAGATATCAATAACCTTCTATACACCTCCAGCCCTCACATAGCTGTGCAGACCTACTAATATGTAGCTCTCATTCCAAATACAATTGAAATAGAGGCAAATCCACAACAGGTTTCATATTTTAAATTATAAAAGAAATGCTCACAAAAGCAGCAGCATAAGAAAAAGAAAAAGGAGTCGGCTTAGGGTAGCAAAGATAAAAATTTAAGTATTTTACAGAATATAAGTAGATGTTGTCAAGGGTTGGGGAAGGGATGACAAAAGAGTGACAGAAAAAGAGGTAAGCAAGAAGTGAAAGACAGAAAAAGCAAATGGATGAAAACAAAAATTATAGAATAGGAAGATATAATTTGTCATCATTACTCTGCTTTAAACAGCACATGTACGCTAGCAGATTAATGACTTACAACTTTGCAGAAGTGAACTGAATCCACTGTAATTAGTGATTAGAGAAAAATTCTACAGAACAGGTTTTCAATCAAAATGTGGCTCCAAATATGTTAAAACAAAAAAATAGCTGGAAGGCAAGCAGAGTTGGATAATTTAAAGGCACATAATAAAAACGCCAAAAGGTAGGTACTGCTTTTCATTCAGGTCATTTACCAATATCTTCAAATTTTACTCATGGCTTCTAATTGTTAAGATATTTAAAAATTATTTACTCCTTTATTCTTTCACCCACATTTCTTTATATCAGAAATTATGATGACAAACTTGAACTCCTAGAATTACATCATCTTTTAAATGCTGGGAAGTGAATCTGGACATAAGCACTCCCTTTCACTGAACTGTTTCACAAAGACGGAGAATGGAGTACAAGTTGCCAGCAACAGGACAGGATGTTACCTGCCCTTTCCAGGGATCTAAAGTTCTTCATTTTGTCACTCTCAATCTCTTATGTGGTTTCTTTTTTTTTTTTAAAAAACTGAAGAAAAATTTGTTTGGAATTTCAGAAACAAAGTAAAAATCTGAATTCAGAGCTTTGCAAAACTGTGTGAACATATTTCAACCCTGACTATACATTTGACTTGATAGATATGGATGTGATCTCAATCAGATCAAAAAAAAGCTCCACGAGGTTCACCGATCAGCCTGGGAGTGGACAGCCCTGTAAAACCAAAAATGAGACTCATGAGGTACAGGAGTCCAGTGATAAGGGCCAGAAAGCAGAAGGGGACAAGGAAGCAGGTGATAGGAAACCCAAGGTTGAGTAAGGATATTGT